TTGGGTTAGGTGCACCCTAGTCTTCAAGGAGGAGCTCTGGTGGCCTAAGGCATTTATTTGACTGCTAACCAGAAGGCTGACGGTTCAAACCCACCAGCCACTCCTCGGAAGGAAGGTTGGGCAATCTACTTCCACAGTGATACTGCCTCGGAAACCCAAGGAGGAGTCGGAGGAGTCGGATCCGACTGGACGGCAGTGAGTTTGAGTCTTCAAGGAGACATCTTTGCTCCTCAGCACTTGAAAGAGGTCTCTCGCAGCAGATTTGCCCAGTGTCCCACGTCTGTTTGATTCTCTGACTGCTGCTTCCATTGGTGCTGCTTGTGGATCCAAGTGAAAGGAAATCCCTGACAACTTCCAGTCTTTTCTCCATTTACAGGAATGCTGCCGACTGGTCCAGTCTTTTCTCCATTTACAGGGATGCTGCTCACTGGCCCAGTCTTTTCTCCATCTATCGTGATGCTGCCGACTGGTCCAGTTGGGAGGGTCTTCATTGTCTTTATGTTGCGGTGTGACCCCCAGTAGGGCGTGCACTGGCAGAGCCCTCCTCCTCCCACAGGAGAGCCCTGTAGGGCCCCTGGAGTCAGAAGTAAGCTGTGGCCAAGGCCATTCCCTGGGGCGCAGAGGGGCCGGGAGGGAGGGCCCCGGGGAGAGGTGTTTGGTAGGGGGGGGGTCTCAGTTGCTCCCATGGGAGCCTGAGGACGGCGAGGAAATGGTCTCTGACACCCCCACACCTGGTCCTAGTGGAGGGGCCCCCAGCAGCAGCACCCTGCGCTCCTAGTGGAGGGCCCCCAGCAGCAGCACCCAACGCTCCTAGTGGAGGGGCCCCCAGCAGCACCCCGTGCTCCTACTGGAGGGGCCCCCAGCAGCACCCCGCGTCCTACTGGAGGGGCCCCCAGCAGCACCCCGCGGTCCTAGTGGAGGGTCCCCAGCAGCAGCACCCCACGGTCCTAGTGGAGGGGCCCCCAGCAGCACCCCACGTCCTACTGGAGGGGCCCCCAGCAGCACCCCGCGGTCCTAGTGGAGGGTCCCCAGCAGCAGCACCCCATTGTCCTAGTGGAGGGGCCCCCAGCAGCAGCACCCCGCGCTCCTAGTGGAGGGGCCCCCAGCAGCACCCCGCGCTCCTAAGGCACAAGAAGCCCAGCCCCACGCAGCCCCCCCTCCATGCCAGTGTTAGGGCCCGCAGCCCAGAGGAGGGCCTTGTGCCCCTGGGGAGCAGGGGCGGAGGTTCCACATGGTGAGGCTGGCGCCGTGCCTCTCTCAGGGGTGAAAGGCACCAAGGGGGACACAGACACGGTGGGTGAGCACCGCTCTGACCCAGGACCCCTGGAGGCTGGCCTGTGACAAAACAGAGCAAGAGGGGCCTTGGGGGCAGCCCCAGCCCAACCCGGCCCCGGGGTTCGAAGCAGGAGGGCCTCGGGCCCACAGAGCCCCAGGCCCACAGAGCCCCAGGGGGCAGCCCCAGCTCAGCCCAGCCCCGTCCCCGGGTCTGAACCAGGAGGGACCTTGGGGCCCAAGAAGACCCTTCAGGGAGCTCCCAGCCCAGCCCAGCTTAGTCCAGCCCCCAGCTCTGAAGCAGGCAGGGGAGGGGAGGACAGGTGCTGATGGGACCAGGCAAATGAGCAGAGCTGGGGGACACTATGCAAGAGTCCTTAAAAAGTTGGAATTAAAAATACCACTTGACCCAGCAATCCCATTACTAGGTATACATCCTAGAGAGGTGAGAGCCAGGACAGGAACAGATATATGCACACCCATGTTCATCGCAGCACTATTTACAATAGCAAAAAGATGGAAACAACCTAGATGTCCATCAACAGAAGAATGGATAACCAAACCATGGTATACACACACAACAGAATACGATGCAACCCTAAAGAATAACATAGGATCTGCAAAACGCCGCATAACGTGGCTGAACTTGGAGGACATTATGCTGAGTGAAATAAGTCACTCACAAAAGGACAAATATTATATTATTTCATTATTGTAAAAAGTCAAGGAAAGGTTTCTATATGGAAGGAAACTTTCTTTGTTGGTTATCAGGGCTGGGAGGGGAGGGGAAGGAACACTCCAAAACAACAACAAAAAAAATTGCACTGATTCATGTCACTTTAGTTTTGTGTCTTTCACTGTACACAAATTGCTGTTGTTGTTATGTGCCGTCAAGTCAGACTCAACTCATAGTGACTCCTCCTTGGGTTTCCAAGGCAGTATCACTATGGAAGTAGATTGCCCCATCTTCCTTCTGAGGAGTGGCTGATGGGTTTGAACTGCCAGCCTTCTGGTTAGCAGTCAAGTGCCTTAGGCACTACGCATTACATTTCAATAAAATGTATTAAAAAAAAAGAGAGAGAGAGCAGGCTTTGGCGGCATCGAGGCTGGGCTGCCACCTGGAGCCGTGGAGGGACAGGCATAGAGAAGGGCAGCTGTGCCTCCCGCCCAGGTGAGAAGGAGCTGCAGGACAGGCCGGGTCAGAAAGTCGAGTGACCCCAGCCCCACGCGCCCCCCAGGCCCGGCCTGCCCTGGCCTCTGCTCTGACCACCAAGCAAACCCACCCCAGGCCCTCCCCATCCCAGGCCTTCCCCATTGCAGGGCCCTGCAGCTGCTGGGACAAACTGGTGCCCAGCGGCACCCTGACCAGCCGGCATGCCATCGCCTCCCTGACTGCTGGCTGCTGGAGGTGCTCTGCTACATGGATGCCAGGGTGGGAGGGCTTGCTCTGCACGCTTAGCCTGTGACCCACCCAGGAAGGGGCGTGGCTGGGAAAGCGGCACCTCCCAGGAGCAGACCAGGAATGCCATGGGTGCCGTTCTCACCGGGTGCTCATGGGGCTGTGGCAGTAGGACCCTGGCGGGTAGGAAAAGACAGTGCTAGGCGCCTCCAAAACCCTGGGCAGGCCTCCCCCGTGAGGCCAGGGCTGCTGGGCCCCACCTGCGCCACCTGCCTGCTCCTGACCACCACCAGCCTGACACCTCCATCAAGGGAAGGAGAGGCTGTGGGTCACTGGTGGCCTCCTAGCCCAGCAGGACTCGTCTCCCAGCCGGCCTGTGCCCCGTCTTCCAGTGACACAGGGATGGGTCTGTGGATTTCTTCTAGGACCGGGACTCCTGCAAGGGAGGCTCTGGCCACTGGGCCACAGGGTTCTGCCGGGCAGCCATCCCTGCAGCTGCTGACAGCTGTGCTGGAGAGACCATGCCTCACAGCACCACCCACCGTGCCCTATGTCCTTCCCTCCTTCCAGGGAGCCAGGAGTTCCGGGTGGACTGGTGTTGGAAAGTGAGACCACTTATGCCAATGGTAGCTCACTCTGGCCCTATGACAGCTCGTTTCAAGTGGCCGGAGAACAACTACACGCTGGTTCAGGGTTGGGGGGGGGGCTGTCAGGAACTGGAGGTAAAACATGGGGGAAGGGTGAGGCCACTCCGGGTGGAGAAGGGGCTCTGCCCTGTCCTGGGGCCAAGAGCCTGTCTCCCCAGGAGACTCCCTTCCCACCTCAGCAACCCACTACCACGACGACAGGAACTGCACGAGGACCGAGGCACCCACTTTCAAGGGGCCCCGACCGCCACCAGTTGGACCTCAGAGGACCGCACCTGTTCAGCATCCATGGCGGCTGCACCTAGAGCATCAACTCCTACCAGCTGGCCAAGACGACGCTGCCCTGGCCCAGGCACGGAGGGCAGCCCCAAGCAGCAACGCTGACGGCAGGGGTGGCCAGAGCTAAAGCTGGGACCCCCAGGCCAGTGCTGTCCGTGCTGTCCCACTCCCCCTCCCTGTACTGCCACTGGTGGGTGGCTGGCCATGACCTGGTGGGAGGACCACCTGCAGACACGCAGGTAGTCACTTAACAATGGTGGCGGAATCAGCTCCCCTAAGGCCTGGGAGGCAGTGCTGCCTTCTTTTGCACACAGGGTGGCTCTGAGTCAGAGCCGACTGGACGGCACCTAGCAACAAGGGAGGCATGCAGGCTAGAGGAGGAGCCGCCCCTGCAGGCATCGGAGCCCAAGGGCCACCAAGACCACCTGGGCCTCCAGGGAGGGAGGAGGACGGGGACTGGAGAGGTCCACCCTGGCTGGGCATGGAGGAGAAGGCAGTCCCCACGTTAGACCCCACCCACCTGCACCCACATCACAGCCTGGTTCTTGAGAGCTCTGCACCCTCCCCCTGCAGCCCTGTGTAGAGCAGCCAGGCCTCGCCTATGGTCCAGACACAGCCCAGCCCGTGCCCCAGGCCCCTGTCCCCCACCAGGTATAAGCCCAAGGACCCGTCCCTGGCATCAAACTGTACAGGGATTTCCCTCCTAAATCAGGGACAGTAAGTGCCCTAGGAGGGTTGACTCCTCTTCTGTGGACCGCACGCCTAGCTCAGAGCTGGCAGCAAAAAAAAAAAAAAAAACCGCCAACCCCATCCACCGCGGAGTCCGACCCACAGCGCCCCCAGAGGACAGAGTGGAACTGCCCACAGGGTCTCCAAGGCTGTCAGTCTTCAGGGAAGCCGACTGCCTCATCTTTCTCCGTGAAGTGGCTGGTGGGTTCTAATCCCTGACTTTTTGGTCAGCAGCCAAAAAAGCTTTAACCACTGCGCCAGCAGGGCTCTTCAGCCAGCACCAAGCACGGGCTTCATAAGCGAGCCTTGAATGCCTTGGTGTGCTCCTTAAGCAAAGGAGCAAGTGCCTCTGGGCAAGCTCCATCCATAATAATAACGTCCTGGTCCTCGTCTCGAATCACAGGGTGTGATGGGCGGTGACTGAGGCCGGACCGCCCCCCCCACGCAGGCTCCACCCCTTCACACGGGCTCCGCCCCGCCCTCTCCACCCGGCCCTCGCAGGCGCACCTCACTCAATCTGCTCCCCCGACCAACCCAGGCTCCGCCCCCGCCTTCTACGCAGATCGCAGCGCAACTTCCGACCCTTCCGCACGCCCCGCCCCTCCACTCAACTCCGCCCCGCCCTCTCCGCCGGGGCCTGGGCAGCCGTGCACGCACCCCCGGCGCTGCCAGCCATGGTGAACCTGGGCCTGTCCAGAGTGGACGACGCCGTGGCCGCCAAGCACCCGGTGAGAGAGCCGCCCTGGCCCGCGGGCCTCGCGCCTCAGAAGCTGACCTGAGCTAGACGGGAGGCTGGGTGTATTGGGCGTGCCCTCGCCCGGGGAAACGAAGCGGAGACGGACCCCCCATTTGCTGTGGGGTCGGGTAATCCAGGGGGAGGGGGAAGGTGCCCAAGCCCCGAAGGTGTCCCTCCCCCGTGCCCCGAACGGGTCCAACGAAGAAGCGGCGGAAGAGGGACTGACGCGCTCAACCCCTCCGCACCACAGGGACTCGGGGAGTATGCCGCGTGCCAGGCCGGCGCCTTCATGAGGGGCCTTCTCGCCTTCGTCGCGGGTAGGCGGGGTCCGGGAAGTGGACCGGCCTCGCACTCTGGCCTCACCCTGACTTCCAGGAGGGGGCGCCAAGTCACTGCCCATAGGGCAGAACCCGGGCTGTGGCGCGGGGAGGCGGGGGGGCTGGCGGGATCCCCGCCCCACCCCCACCCAGCCTGTGAGCTGGCTGTCTGATGGGCTTTGCTCCCGGCAGGCACCGGGACGGCTTTTGGCATGCAGATGCTCGTGCACAGGAAATTCCCGTACCCCTTGCAGTGGACCGTGCTGGTGGCCGTGGGTGGGTACCCAAGGGGCAGTGCCTGGGGCCCCTGGAGTGCACCTGAGTCTCTTGAGAACTGTGGTTGGGGTGTCCCTGCCTCCAAGCATGGGTCCCACTCTTAGTGCTTGAGCCTCCCCACCACCCACCACCAGCTGCAAAAGTGGCCCAAGCTGAGGTCCTACCTGGCCCCACCTGGCCCTACCTGTCCCTACCTGTCCCCACCTGGCCCTACCTGGCCCCACCAGCCCCCACCTGTCCCCACCTGGCCCACCTGGCCCCACCAGCCCCCTTTGCTTCTCAGCCACAGGCTCAGTGGCCAGCTACAGTGTCACGCGAGTGGAGACCCAGAAATGCAGTAACCTCTGGCTCTTCCTGGAGACAGGGCAGCTCCCCAAAGATGCAGGTGCAGGTGAGAGCCGGGGGGACAGTCACTGGGAGCAGCACCTGAGGGTCCAGTGCCCAGGGTTTAAGGCAGCCAAGCCCAGGACCACAAGCTGGTACACTAGACAAGATGACCCCCTCCAGACCTGCCTCTTCCTAACAGCAGGCTGGAGCTGGGAGTGGGGACATCAGGAGGAAGACCCCGAGGGGTCGGGTGGCTCTAGGATTAGGGGAAGGGTGAGGAGTGCTGGCAGGGCCACTCAGCCACTGTGGGACTGTGGGGCCCCCCCGGAAAGAACTTCCAAGGGGTAGGGCTTGCACAGAGTACCAGCCAGACTGCCTCAGACCTGGGCTCTGCCTCCTGATTCCCTTCTTGTCCTGAGCCTGGGCGTTGCCATGGGAACGTGAGCAGCAGGACCTGACGGCAATGAGTTTGGTTTGTTTTTTAAAAAATAAATAAATTATATATATATATATATATATAACATCTATATCAGGTACTGGAGAACCTGCTGATAGGAATGGAATGTGAGAGAAACCCTCGATAACCGTGGCCTAACCCGCCAAAGGTCTTAACTCTCTTTTGTGTAGTAGTCCAAGTGGGTGGTACCGGGCAGCTAGAGACTCAAGGACCCAGGCCCCTTTCAGCCTGTTCTCTGCTGTAATGGTCTCCATTCCCAGACCCCTCACATAGTCCAAGATGGCTGTGGCAGCTCCCACCCTTGCACCTCCATCCTGGCCAACAGGAGGGAGAAAGCAGGAGGGCGGTTGGCCCCACCACTGCATTGGCCACAACTAAAGCACATGGTCACTTCTGATGCAGGGAGCCTAGGAAAGGCACCCCTGTCTGGGCAGCTGGGTGTCCCACTGTTATGAACTAAATTGTATCCTTCCAAAAAATGTAAACCCCAGTTCCCACACCTGTGGTTGAAGGAGCTCTGGTGCCACAGTGCCAACCACTGTTAACCACTCAGCTGCTAACCAGAAGGCTGGCGGTTCCAACCCACCAGCTGCTCTACAGGGGAAAGATGTGGCCGCTTTCATGAAGGTGCCAAAACCAAACCCAACCCACTGCCATCAAGTCGATTCCAACTCATAGCGACCCCCATTGGGTTTCTGAGACGGTAAATCTTTACAGAAGTAGATTGCCCAGTCTTGCTTTTGCAGACTGTTTGGTTTGAACCACCAGTTTTCTGGTTAACAGTCAGATGCCTTAGGCACTGTGCTGCCAGAGCTCCTTCCATGAAGATTACAGCCTTGGAAAGCCTATAGGGCATTTTGGGGGTTGAAGGACAGTGGATATACCTGTGGTTATGATCCCATCTGGAAAGGGAGGCAGTTTTCATGTTGCCTGTGTTTTAACGTGATCTCTTAGAGAAAGGACAGATGACACAGGAGGAACCCAGTGAGCAGATGTGGGGAGGAGATGCCAGGCCACCTGGACGTCCCTGAGGTGAAGCTCTGAGGAACAAGGACCTTCCCCCAGAGCCAACAGACGCAGGCTTCCTGGGCCGCCACCCTGATCGCCCGCCTAAACTGTGAGAAAATAAACTGCTGCTTATTAGAGCCACCCCCTTGTGATGTTTTTGTTGTAACAGCACTAGATGACTAAGACACCCACTAACATTCTGGGGTTCTGTACCTGGGGAAGATGGGGAGAATGGGCTTGGGAAATGGCCAACAGACCGCCTCAGCCAGACACCAGTCTGGGCCCAGGAGGAAGGAGGAGAGCCACCCCCCCCCCACCCCCCACCCCTGGCAGGTCCTGCCTGTGGAGAGTAGAGCCTGGGCTTGGAGGGGATGAACTTGGAGCGTTGGACCAGACTGGACTGACTGCTCTAATTGGCTAATTTTTAGAGCAGTGTCAGGTTTACAGACAAATGGCACAGAAAGCAGGCTCCCCTGTTATTAACATGCCTCTCCTGTGGTCCGTTTGTTATAGCTGATACTGATACTCACAGACTCTCACTAAAGCCCACACTTGATAGCAGGGCCCACTGGGATGTGTATGCTTCTGTGGGTTGTGACCAATGACAGTGTCACATAGAACAGTGTCACTCTGCTCATCCCCCACTCCCACCCTTAGGGGCCCTGGCGACACTGACGAGGTCACCAGCTCCACAGCTCTGCCGTTTCCATGTGGCTTATGCTCAGAATCACACAGCAGACTGGCTGGTTGCACTTGGGGACATGCATTTAAGGGTCCTCCCTGCCTTACAGCCCGAGGGCTCGTTTCTTTGTTGGGAAGGAAGTGGCTTTTTTAAACCGGAAAGTGATTGGAAGGAAAGGGCACTGAGGCTGAGGTCATTGAGGGGCAAGGCAGGGCTGCAGCAGCACCGCGGAAGGCCATGATTGTTGGGAAAATAACCCCACATCGGGGATACACCCCTTCCCCGACTCCCGGGAAGCTCGTGGCGGGTAAACACAGCTATGGGGAACCTACTCCTGGAGCAAGTGCCGTTTGAACCAGGAAACATGGGAAAGCAGGGACAGGGTGGGGCCCTAGCAGCCAGTGAAGGTCAGGACCAGAAGGGTGGGGTGGTGAGGTTGGGCCACAAGTCTCCTAAGCCGGGTTGCCCAGAGTCTCCGAGTTTGAACTTGGCAGTGGAGACCCCAAGACAGTGACAGTGGGAACAGGTTTAGGAACTTAAGCCCTGCCAATTTGTGGCAGATAGCCAGGAGGCACAGGGGGAGGGGTGCCAATGTGGGGTGCAGTGCTGACTCCTCGCAAGTCACCCCCATGCGGAAGGAGCTTCTGCGCAGCGTCTGCAGTGAGGGGCCTGGGTGTGATACCCCAGGGGCGGAGGGGGCGGGGCGGCCGGCATTCCACGTTCCCTGGGAACCCGGAGCCGCACAGTCATAATGGACCGGACAGTCCCAGGCTTTCCGAGCAGAGGGCGCTGTGCAGAGAGCACGCGAGGACCCCGAGGGCCACCATGAAGGTGTACAATGAAGGGGACACGGAGGAGCAGATCCAGGAGCTGAAGACCATCACGAGGCTCCAGGGTAGGCCGGCCGCTGGGCTGGCGCTCCGGCCGCCGGCTCAGGACGTCCCACTGTAAAGCGGCACACCCAGGACAGAGACCAGGGCTTACCCTAGCGTCCCCCCACCCCAGACAGGGCCGCAGAAGGGTCAGAGGGCCCTGCGACGCAGGGGGCGTCAAGTGCGTCTGTGAGCGTAAAAGCGCGTGTACCCAGATGCAGCCCGGGCAGGACCTTCGGAGGAGGGGAGGAGGGAGGCCGGCGCCTGGCCCTGCCCACGCCAGTCCTCCTGGAAACCGTTTGTAGGCAGTGTCCCCCAGCCGACTCCATGCCTGGGGGGCCCTGCCACGCCTCCGACCCACACCCGCCCACTCCCCGCCCCCAGAGCAGTGCCGGGCGCTGCAGATCCAGGCGGTAAAGGAGAAGACGGCCCAAAACAAGTCGACCCTGGCCCTCCTGCGTGGCAACATCCGCCGCGGGGCCCAAGACTGGGTGCTGGCCCAGAAGGTGCTGCCCTCCCCTACCCCGCTGGCAAGCAGCCCCGGTACACACACAGAGGTGGAGGGCGGCTCCTCCTTCCGAACCCAGGGCATCTCTGGGAGGGCCCCTGCGACTGCCTGCAAGGGCTCCAGTCCCTCCCCAGGGGACCTGCGGGCAGGCTGGCCCCGAGGGAGCCGGGTCCTGGGTTCCCCCCCCAGCAGGGCGCCTCTGGCTCTGTGGTCAGGGAGGTCTGGGCCCTCCTCTCCCGCCAGGAGGGCCGCGTGGGGTCCCGCAGGTGTCTGCTCCCTGTGGCCCTGGAAGCAGGGCTCTTGCTGGGGCGGCGGAGGGGGCACGCAGAGGGTCCTTGCCGGCACAGCCACCGCCTCTCCGTAGTACGACGAGTGGACCATCTCCAAGGCCTGCCAGACGGACCTCCCCATGAGGCTGGCGCACTGCCGCAGCACCATGGAGGTAGGGACACGAGGGGCCCCCCTGGCCTGTGCACCCTACGCTGCCCGCGCGTGGTGGGGGTGGTGATGGGCGCGGGTTTCTCCAGTCGGGTCCCTCGGCGAGCGCCGCGCACCCACGCGTGGCCGTGCCCTGCCAAACCCAGGTGGCGCGGGAGAAACTGCGCAAGTATGTCTTCGACCGCGTGAACGTGCACAACATGCTGACCCACCTGGTGCGGCGGCGCGGGCAGAAGCTGGAGAGACTGCAGTTGGAGCTCGCCAGCCTGGAAAGCCAGCCCGAGGCCACCAAGGAAGAGCTGCGGCTGCAGCAGGTGCGACTGGGCGGGCGTGGCCCAGTCCCTGGGGGCGGGGCTTCGCGGGAGGAGGAGGCACTGCGGAGGGTTCCGCTGGAGGGGCGGAGCCCGCAGGATGGGCGGGGCCCCGCGGGCGGGACGCGGCGACGCACGGGAGGGGCGGGGCTTCCACGGATGGGGCCTGGGGGCGGAGAGACGCCCATGGCCGCGACGGACTCCGAGGGGCTGGGTGAGCACGACCCCGGTGGCCCGGTCCGGTCCGCCGCCCTCCCGGGAGGCTGCCGGGCCCCCAGCAGCGTGCCCTCGGCTCCAGGTCACCCGCCAGCTGGAGAACAACATTGAGAAGATTCTGGTCAAAATCGCCACCAGCCAGAACGTCCGCCTGCTCTACGTGGACCTGCTGGATTACTTGAAGAAGGTGAGCGCCCGCTCCCACGGCACAGCCCGCCTCTGTGGCGCGAGAGGCCGTCTCAGGCGCAGGCCTCCAGCCCTTGTCCAGGGAGGACTGCCTGGTAGGAGCCCTCACCACTGTCCACAAGGCCTGCATAGTCTGGGGAAGGAGAGTGGGGTGGGCCAGGCCCCCTGAGTGTGGGGTGCCCTGGAACCCAGCTGCCCGGCCTTCACCACACAGGAGCTGGCAGGGTACCCCACCCAACTGGACAAACTGCAGAACCTGGTGGTCAACTACTGCTCAGAGCTGTCGGACATGACCGTCATGTCCCGAGATGCTATGATGATCACTGATGAGGTGAAGGTGAGCTGCAGACCCTGCTGTCTGTGTAGGAGGTGGCCTCCAGGGCTCCTCCCGGATGTGTCCAGCCTGGGAGAGGTACAGTGGCCACCAGTGGGCCTCAGCCCAGGCACCCCACTGTCACCTGGACAGAAGGTCCTACTGGGAACACACGGGACTCATGAGGCAACAGTGGGACGGAGAGAGCGGGCCTGGCCAGGGATCAGCACCCTCATCCACTGGCCCCATGCCAAGGCTTCTGCAGGGCTCTGCAGACAGCAGTGACCAAGGCAGGCAGTCCTTGTCTTAGTGTCCTGGGGCTGCCGTGACACAAAACACTGCAAGTGGCCAGCTTTAGAGAGTGGCTTTGTTGTTGTTGTCAGGTGCCATCAAGTCGGCCGGCCCTGACTCCCAGCGACCCCGTGTACAGCAGAATAAAACGCTGCTGGGTCCTGTGCCAGCCTCACAGTCCTCGCTGTACCTGAGCCCATCGTGGCAGCCACGGTGTCAGTCCATCTTGTTGAGGGTCTTCCCCTTTTTCCCTGACCCTCCACTTTACCAAGCATGAGGTCCTTCTCCAAGGACTGGTCCCTTTTGACGACACGACCAAAGTAGGTGAGATGAAGTTTGGCTAGTCTCATTTCCAAGGAGCATTCTGGTCTTCCGTCTTCCTTACTCAGAGTCCAGCTCCCACATGCACGTGAGGCTATTGAATGAATACACCGTGGTTTGGGTTAGGTGCACCTTAGTCTTCAAAGAGACATCTTTGCTCTTCAGCACTTGCAAGAGGTCTTTTGCAGCAGATTTGCCCCAGTGCAGTATGTCATGATTTCTTGACTGCTGCTTCCATAAGTGTTGATTGTGGAAGCAAATAATAAATCATCACCAGCTTCAATCTTTTCTCTGTTTATCGTGAGGCTGCTTATTGGTCCAGTTGAGGATGGTTTTAAGCCAAACATCAAACCCAACTCACTGCTATCGAGTTGATTCCGACTCACAGCGACTCTTGTTGGGTTTCCAAGGCTATGAATCTTTATGGAAGTAGATGGCTCCCATCGGCCTTCTGCGGAGGAGCTGGGGGGTTTGAACCGCTGGCCTCCTAGTTAGCAGCCAAATGCTTCACCCGCCATACCACCAGGGCTCCTTTCGTCTGCTCATGGTTCTGGAGGTTGAACGTCCCAATCGGGTCTCAGCCATGTCACTTCCTTCCATGGCACCTCCTGGCTCTGGTGTCTGCTACACTCTTGGGTGTTCTCTGCGGTTCATAAAGGCTCCTGTCACCCCTGCGTGTGCCCTCCGGAGGGGTCAGGTCTGGGCCCCTCACTCCAGTATGATCTACTAACATAACAAAAGAACCCTCCTGCTTTGGAGCCCTGCCACATTCACAGTTCAGGGGTTGGGACTTCAACACATAGTTGGGAGGGGACTGAATTCAGTCCCTAGCAGCCAGCGTTTCATGAAACACGTGCACACGACCAGATCGAGGTGGTCCCACAGCCTGCAATGCTACCCTGAAACTTTGGAAGAGGAGGCCTTACAGCTGCCTTTGCCCCTGGGGGTCCACTGGGCACCTCGGTGGGACAGATCCCCACCTTCCATCTGTCCCCAGAGGAACATGAGCCAGGCAGAGGCCTCCTTCATCGAGGAGCGCAGGGCGCGGGAAAACCAGCTCAACCAGCAGAAGAAGCTGATTGACAAGATCCACACCAAGGAGACCAGCGAGAAGTACCGGCGGGTGAGGCCGGCCCCAGACCCCAGGAGGCCGGGGTGGGGGTGGCAGATTCTGCTCAAGGCCTGCCTAGCCTAGCCCCTGCAGACACACTGCTCACCCTCTGCCCCTCCCTGCAGGGCCGGCGGGACCTGGATTTCCCCACCAACTTGATGAGCACAGAGAACCTGAAAGGCAAGCATCGGCCCCGCCTGTCCTTCTAGCATCTTGAGAGGCCAGCACTGGCTCAGTCCTCGGAAGGCCAGGTGTCAGCCACAGTCACCAGGGCAAGGGTGACAGAGAAGGCCCTCCCTCTCCCGGGGTGCATCCCAAGAGGCCAGAGCCAAAGGGCTGCACTCACGCTGTGACATGGGTGTTGTCAGGCAATAGGCCGCATGTGGCTGAGCCTTGGGCCCTGGAAGATGCTGTCCCCCAGCTCCCCGGGGCCCGTCCCCCAGTGAGCCCTCAGAAAGAATGAGTCCCCTGGACCCTGGACCCAACTCCAAGAAGCGACTTGGGGCATTCCTGGAAGGCCACACTGAGGACAGGTATCTTAGCCAGGGTTCTCTAGGGGAACAGGGCCAGTGAGATGGGTGGATAGACAGACAGATGGATAGGTAGGTAGAGACTGATTGGCTTCAAGGATCTGGCTTACATGGTAGGGGTGGGAGACAGCTAGGGGACCAACAAGTCCAGACTCCGTAAGGCCAGGCAGCTGACTACAGACTTCCACGTGTCCGGGTCTGAATCCCCTACGCCAAGGGAGCGGAGACTGAGCAGGGAAGAGTTCTTTCTGCCAGAACACCTCTTTGTTGTCTGGAAGCAGAACACACCCACCCCAGGAAAGCCCAGTGTTGCTCTTAAAGGCCCACCTCCCTTTGAGGGTGGTCGGCTTCACTTGAGCCCAGCTACTGAGACCATGTGTAACAGCTTCAGAGCAACTAGACAAGGGTTTGTGCCAGAGCCCAACCATGTGTACACTTGAACTTCACCATCACAAGGGGGCGGGTCACCCCTTCAGTTCTGGAACCCCTGAAAACGGGGCATGCACAGTGGCTTCCAGGGGCCTGGCACCTGTGCCCTCACAACGCTGCATGCCAGTGGCCCTTGCTCTTTGCTCTACATAGTGAGGCGAAGAGAGACCTCCAAGACTGACATCGAGTACCAGGAGGATGTGACCACAATGGTGGAGCGCGTGAAATCTGCTGTGCGCTGTTCACACCTCTGGGTGAGGTCCCAGCTCTCTCACTGGTGAAGGGCCCTGCAATCCCGCCCAGCCCCAGGCCGGTTGGGTGTGCAGAGTCCCTGGACGGGCACAGGAAGCTGTACCCCCTGGGCTTCTCGGGCTGCAGGAAACAGCTGACAGGGAGGCTCAGCACAGAGGGCACCCTGAGACCTGTTTGGAGCACCTGAGTCCTGTTCTAGGCCACATAGAGCCCACCTGGTGGAGGCTCTAAGCACCAAGGGAACAGCCTGTCCCTCCCACTCTGATCCTGTCCCCAACTGCCAGAATCCCAGGAGCAGCTGCCTCTGCATCCCTCCTGCCCCCCTCATGTCTGGCTGTCACCCTTAGCCCCTGAGTTCCCATCTTTGGCCCTGACTGGAGCTTGTCCAGGATGAACGCCCCAAAGCCTGGATGTCTCTGGCAGTCTCTTGGTCTGCCAGAGGCCATCTGTCCTCTGGGGTGTCATGCAGTGGCACATGGGAAGCACCCCATCAGGGGCTGGGCCCCACAAGCCCTGGGTATGTGGCAGCAGGCAGCACCATGATCTGCCCTGGGGGGGGCCCTGCCTCCTCGGCTCACATCCGTTCCCCCGTCTGCTGGATGGCCAGGACATCGCTGGCCGGTTCCTGGCACAGAGAAACACGGAGGACAACCTGGAGCTGCAGATGGAGGACTGTGAAGGGCGGCGGAAGCAGCTGGAAATCCTGATGAAGAGACTGGAGCTGGAGCAGGCAGTGCTCAAGTTCCACCAGGCGCCCAGCTCCGTCAGGTACCCCACCCAGTGGTGCCCAGGGACGGTCCCCGGGCCAGGGGCCAGGCTTACTCCCGGCAGGCCTGTGAGCACTCTGTGAGGGGCACAGCACCCAGCCAGCACCTTGGCCAGCTCACCCTTGGCTCCTCCTCACCCACTGTCCTCGACAGCTTTGTGTCCGTTGAGAATAAGATGAAGGCCGTGCTCGGGGAGGAGGAGGACCGGCTCCAGCTGGCCCTGACCAACATGACCAAGAGCCAGAAGCTGCTGCTGGCCATCCAGACAGGCATTGACAATCTCTACATCCACCTGGTCGGCATCCCCACGCAGCCCAGCCAGGTGCCTGCCTGGGAGGAGCTGCTCCCCTCAGCAGGGATCTGGGGGAGCCGTGGCGGGCATCAGACCCTCCTCTTGCCTGCAGAAAGAAGTGGTGATGTCCAGCACCCTCGATGTGTACAGCAAGCTGGCGTACTGCGAGAAGAAGCTCACGTACCTGGTGGACAGGGTGCAGACGCTGACAGAGACCCAGGAGGTAGGCGAGTGGGGAAGTGAGCCTCAAGCCCAGCCCGCTCTGTACCTGCGCGGCTGAGAGAGCTCGGTCCCCTGTAGGTCAGCACGAAGGTGATGGACATCCTGGAGTCCTCCACGCTGAAGGAGAAGCAGAACACCAAGATCACCTTTGAGGACCAGGACGACGATGTGATAGGTATGAGCGGGGGCAGAGGGTGGGGTTCGGTGGGGCAGGGGCGGGGCTGAGCGTGCGAAGGCCAAGGGCTGGGGCGGGACTTGATGGGGCGAGGGCTGAGGGCTGGGGCGGGGCTTGGTGGGGCGGAGGCTGAGGACGGGGCCGGGGCTCGGTGGGGCGGGGCTGAGCGGGGGCGGGGCTTGGCGAGGCGGGCCAGGCCCGGCCTCCAGGGGGCCTTGCTGCCCGCCAATGGCAGGGACTGTGGGTCAGGCTGGAACTGGACTTACTTCGGATCGCGGCAGCAGCGGGTTTGATGCTGGAACTCGTGTCCAGGGCAGGGCAGCCGGCGGGGGTGGGGGAACGACAGGGCCCGAGAGGGGCTACGGGGTGCCGACTCCCCGCCATTGCTGCTCTCCCTTCTAGAAACCTTCCAGTTTGCCGACATGGACCACAGCTACGTACCTTCGCGGGCCGAGATCAAGAAGCAGGGCCAGCGGCTGATAGAAGGGAAGCTTAAGACGACCAAAAAGAAAAAGAAGTAGCTGCTCCCTCTTTCGCCCGCCCCCACTCTTCGCCAGCTATTACTCAAATAAACATTTTTCCAGGACTGTCGGGGTCGCTAGGGTGAGACGGGAATCTCAGAGAAAATACAAAGTGGGGAGACGCAGGTCGCCGTGATCACGGGGGGAAGGTCTACGGAAAGCTGGTGTCCGGTATGAATCGGGGGTTCTGCGCCCGCGCTGAGGACGAGGCGAGGTAGGAGATGTCTGGGCTGAGATGCGGACGAAGGTGTTCCACTGGAAACCCCAGGGGCAAATGGCCAGAAGGGACGCGGCCAAGTGCACTCGGATCGCCAGGTCCCCCTCGCCACCGGGGCTCCCGCGGCTCCCGCCAACGACGGCGCCGCCCCGCGCATGCGCGCCACCTCCCTTGCGCGGCCTTCGCGGCCCCCGTAGCCGCCGCG